ACTGTCCAAAGAGGTCGAGGGTGAGGTTCAGCATTGCAGAACGTGGCAGGTAGGACTTGCTGGAGAAGATGACATTGCTTTCAACTGAAGCCCCAGTGTTGATTTCATTCATGAAGAAAGAGGATTCATAGTTGCGAGAAAACTTGAGGGCTTCGGTACTGAACTTTTTCTGGAGAAGTTCCTCGCCAATCATTTGACGAGCCCACTGTTTTTCTGGAGCAGCTGATTCCTGCATGTTGGTCATATGAGTCCAGATGAAGGAGCCCACCTGGTTGACACCTTCTGAAGTGAGACGGTCCTTGATGGTATTGATAAGGTCTGGAGTAGGACAGGTCATGAGAGCAAGGTAGGCAGCAATGCGAACCTCTGTGTCCTGAGTTTCATCTTGGAAAGCAGCCAGAAGGTGAGATCGGTCATATTCACATGGAGTGTGCCTCCATGCGTCAATAGCAGCCACTCGCACTTCCATCTCATTATCTTCAGTATAGCATCGCCTTAGGACTGAGTTGGCATTAACCCATCGGCCAGCATTGCCAAGTGCCTTGAGAGCAACGAGTACCCTGACTTTCTCTTCTTCATTCACAGTGCGACAGCCAGATCCAAGTTGTGTTTCAATTCGACGAATTACTTGCTGGACACTGGAATCGGCACCACAGTCTTCATTGATTTTGCAGAAGGTGTTGATGAGAGCAGAAGTTCCCAACATTGCTTTTTGGCTTGGGTTGTTCTCGAGTAAAGGCTGTAAAAATATTAGATAATGTGTAGGTAAAGTGGCAGAAAATATTTTCAATAAATGCCTTCTTAAAATGTGAATAAATGTCATTACGAGTATACATAAGCAACAATACATATAATATATACATAACTGTGTTTATAGATTATATCAATACTAACAGCAAGAGCAGTAAACATTTCTGCTGTTGGGTTCTTGAAGAAAGCCAGTGAAGTGAAGAACACATCAGCCTCAGATTCTGTCATGTCCCCATTGAGGAACATGTCTCTGACCACACCAAAAGATGCAGCTGTTCCCACCAGTGGCATAGCGTCAACCAGGAACTTCCGTGTGTGAGTTTCTTTAGCATTGTTGTAAACAGTGTTGAGCTGAGGGTAATCCAGTTCCTTGAGTGATGACACGAGTTTGGCAAATAGTGAAGGAACCTCTGGAAGGATTTCATTGTTGGAAGCAATCTCCAGATTGCTCAAGATCTCCTCAACTGCTTCAAGCTGAGCTTCTGGTGCGAGTGTGTGCTCGAAAGCCAGTGTATTGCGCTTGAAGTCAAAGTCTGCAATGAGAACCATAATAGACATAAGAATGAGCAGTGTCGGTGTTCTTCATGTTTTGTGCAAGTCGATAGCAATGATGACCTGTAAAACAAATGGCACACAAAGATACACATACCTGTGATAGGAGTAAGTCGTTCCTGAGACATGAGAATCATGGTAGTCTTGGCAGTTGTAACAGCTCCTCCCTTTTCGCTGGAGAAGGGACGGAACACGTGGGTCTCCTCACATTCTGCCGTCTTCAGAAGGCCTTCCTCTACCCTTTGGTGACACTTGCTTGAGCTTTTAAAGATTGGGAGGCTCTGGACTGGAGAGTCACTGATGTATCCAGTTGAGGGGATGAAGGTCAGGTCAGGTCGCTGAGTACATGTGGCTAAGTCCTTGACCTTATCAATGGTGACAACGCTGCCCTCTACTGTAGCATTGTAGTGAGTCATGCAAACACCAGAGATGTCTGTCTCCTTAATGTCCTGGAAGGTAGGCAACAGAATGAGGAAAAGATTGGTCACTCGGTCAATCATTCAATCCTGATGCAAATCAGTGGAATCATACTGCAAGTAATCAATTATCATGGAATGTACCTCATCACCCTGATGGGCCATGGAGTTCTGGAAGGTAGAAAGGACACCTCTCTTGAAGTTAAGGACCCAGGCCGGCTCAGATGCTTCGCCGCAGATACTCTCCACTTGGCCATCTTGGAAGGAGAAGCGCAAGGGAGACTTGGTAACAGCAGCAGCGAACTCTGGTCCGTGAGACGATCCATCAAGATTGACGTCGGTCAACTGCAGTGGAAACCAGATACGATTAACAATTTCCAGCGGCTCTCCGCAGAAAACAGTATATGAATACTATTTTGTTCATTCCCATTTCAGAACTGCTTTAAGCAGAGTACCGACGTACCTTGAGGATGTACTCGCAGGGGGCAGAAACATCGATGTGGGCGTTGGCGGTGATGTGCAAGTGGGCGTCGTCCTCAAAGGTTTCCAGGAGGGCGGTGGAGGTCGTCACCGAGTATTCGTAAACATAACTTTTGCCTGAGGAGATTAAACACCTTGAAGCTTATACAATTTTCTCTCTCTCTTCTTGGGACAATGTAATATTCTTTTATATAAAATTGTATACTCTCAGTTGCTACCTACCCGTTTCGTAAGCATAATTTTCAACATCATTGCAGTGGAGAGCACATGTCGATCGCTGGCCCGTCGGCCCTGAGGGAGAT